ACTAAGTATGACGCACATCTCTTTATTTAAAAACAAGGCTTCATAAAAATGCGCATTCTTCTAACCATTTTTATATTGTATGCTCAAATGTAATGTCAATCGATAATTATAATACATAGTTCGAGTCCGGATTCTCCAGAGGGAAAGTTCGATCATTCAATTTATTTTTTCTTAAATCCTTCTTAGTAAAAAGTTACATTTGTTTAATTGTCTCCTCTCTCCTCCCTACAGTAATTTGAAGATTTCTATTCTAGTTTGTTCTTCTAAGTTATAATTTTATTTAGGGTATTTCTATTCTTGTCTTACGAGGAATATTGCACCTTTTTTTTATTAAGTGATGACAAAATGCTCGTAAGGAGAAACTATATTTTTGCGATAATATTTTCCTCTCGTTGTAGCTCTAGAAAGAGTTCTAAGATTGTTAATTTCCAATCGCATTTCTTATAATTTTGCGCTATATATATTTTCCCGTTCTAAAGCATACAAGTAACATCGAAATTTTTTAACAAGCTCCGGAATGCTCTATATGTTCTTAAATTAAATTGGAGAAACATTGGTTTATACTTTCATATTGCGACACTTATAATGTATTTTTTTAAATCTTAACGCAATGTTTTTCCCTTAATTATCTCGAAGTTTCCGCGAAAAAAAGAGGACTTTCTGCGATAGCCACCATTTATGTACAAATCTAAAAGGAAAGTCCCGCATATTATATTAAATTGGTCAAAATGGCATGATAAGTGCGATTATACATACACATATATATATATAGTGTGTGTATATATATATATATATATCTAATTTTTTTGCCATTTATCGGTTGCGTAACTTTGAAGGAACACACATTCCTTCAAATCAATAACTATAAAAAGCTCTAAATTACGATATGTAACATAAGTTATTTATTCGATCATGATTATTATACATTACTATCTGCCACGATAAAATAAAATAATATATTTATTTCAGTGCTCTGCTTTTACATTGATGTCGATCAACCCTTAAATGATATCATCCGCCAATATTAACATTCACAAGCAACATGTGTAATTACAACATTAATGTTGAATCAATAACGTGTAAATGTACATATAGATATTTATTTATTTTAATATTTCTGTCTTACTATATATATATATATATATATAGCTATTATTTTAGTTTATTTTAAGCTATACGTATTGTAAGGTACAGCTAAGAATCTATCAATTTACAGTGCATTCAAATTTCATAGTTCTTGGCAGAATTCTTGTAACATAATGTGCGTCAAAAAAGGACAATTGTTTAAAAATAATTTAAATTAAACACATTTGACAAAATTTGACATATAATCGAAACCGATTAGCCATAAAATTTAATTGGAAGAATCTTCTACGGCTATCATTACTCACGTTAACTTTGTTTCTTCATTACAGTAACTTTAAGCTTTATTTGGAATTAGTTAATTATAAGTTATATAATGTGACTTGTATTTTCAAGGCTTCATTCACTCTTGGTTTGTTGTAACAAAATATAGTTGCACAGTAAAAAGCACAATTAAGTTTGCAATTAAACTTTACGATTTCATTTAAGGGTGATCGCGTGCATATTGAAAAGAAGCAATCCTCAAAGAAGTACACGTTATTCTCTCACTTACGTCACACACCTTCCATCATGATATACTCCGCCTTTATTTTTCCTAAATATTACATGTAGATCTGACAAAAAGCGCGAATAAACTTTATCTTTACAGACTTTTTTCACCTGTACAGAACATTTCTCGATACTATAAGGACAACTATTACATTATTCTACGGTTATTATTTCCTTTACAATTTATTGTTTATATGCCAAGTCGGATCAACAGGGTTTAAAACTATATGTATATAATATATTGGTTAATTATGTAGGCAATTATCCACTGGGTCGTACTAACATCAAAGCTATACTTTTTACAGAAATTGTCGCCGAAATAGGGAATACCATCACATTTCACGAATTACTTGAGTTATATATCGTATCATTATGATGAGCTTTCAAGACTTATAACGCATCGTGCGTGATTGTATTAAAATATTGTAAATGAAATTAATAAACTGTGTTACAATGAGAGTTTATAATTGTAATACTTTTAGAGACAATTTTCTTAACATTCATATAATTGCACATTTACCTTTCTCATAATTTTCCTTCTTTTTGAAGCAGAAAAGTTATCAGAGAAGCAAACACGGGCAAAATCGTAACAAACATATGACAAGTATCAACCCTCTTTCATTAAATGTTGAAAATCCAACTCACATCGCGTATAATATAATTTCTCTCTGCATTCTCTCTCTCAAAGTCATTGTAAACACACCAAACCATTGCACACATTTACTCTCCTAACTCTACTTATCCCTTCCTAAAATCTATACATGCAATGTTTAACTGTATATATGCTTTTTGTTTCATTTTTTTTTCTCTTTTGCTTAGATACACAAACGCCGTTCTGGATCATACGACGATTGGATTACGCATATTTTGAGATCACGAGCTGGAAAAGTCACGTCTTGGCGCAAGCTTCCGTGAAGAAAGAACTTGCCCAAAATCCGTTTTAGAGATACCAAACTCAAATAAATCTCCACACTGCAACTCGAAAAGCTTTGCGCTATTTCAAAGTGCGAAAATTTGATTTATATTTGTGAATATTTTGCGCGCATCCTCTCATAAAATTTTCTGTATCATGACGAACATTTGTATCTGCGAAGAAGTGTCTAATATATAAAAGAAATAATTTTTAGATAACGTAATTAACTAATGTTACATAACTTAGCAAGTTACAAACGTAATCCTTTCTCAATACATTTTGACTTTATAAGAATTGTGATACAAAATAAAATAAAACTGTTAGGTAATATTTGTTACTGTTATTGGTTCATATTTACATTATAGAAAATTCTTTCATTCATATTTTCATTATAGAGAATTCTTTCCATTTTTTAAACTAAATATAAAAAATAGGCTTTGTTTTTACTTCGGATTAAATATCGAGTAAAAACTTTTTTACGGTAAAAAAATTGTTTTCCATTAAAATCCCGAAAAAAGATATAGAATTCATTTCTTTTTTTAAATATTCATCGACAGTAAGTTTAATATCTACATTATTTCAATATTATTTTTAATATCTTTTGTCTTTATAATTTTAAATATTAAGACGAAACCGTGTTCATTTTAAGTATTGCAGTTGCAGTATCCATAATGATAACACCTTTATTCGAAATTGGATCTAATAATAAATAATATATTTCACGATCACCGCTATTTAATAATTATGTTAACCATTGTACTTTGACTGTTTACAATGTTTACAGGTATCTTTACACAGAAATCTTTTGGATGAATGCAAAAGCTAAATTCTAGAACGATAATATGGCGTAAAATGTAGAAAATATCTTGGTAAAAAAACTTTTAGGGTCAGAATAAAAAACTGGTTTTTACTGGGTTTTTTTTACTCAAATTGTTTAGTTTTTTTCGGTAATTTTTATCTCTAGTTAAGAATGACAATATTTCAATCAAGTCAGATTTCGCTAAACAGAAATAAGATTCTATGAGACATTCGTATAGGACTAATTTACGTCGCCGAAGATCAGAGCAATTAACGGGTGTACTTATGAGTATTATATTTCAACCTTCATATATGATGCCACAATAATCGGTAGCGAACCGAAATCATGCTTAAAATCTATCCCTAATCTAAACCTTATCAAATAACGCATGATCGACGGCGAATTCTTCCGTGTCATACGATTGTCTTAATAGCTAGGGACTAGAATGAACTCTTACGACCTTTTTTGCCGGTTGAGAATGTCAAAGAAAAATTTAAAACATAACTGAAACTTATGTCTCTATTGTTTAAATATCTTATCTTAGATATACAATATGAGATTACACATCAGACTGTATGTAATTAATGGAGATCTCTCTGTATCCACGTGTACGTATACAGTATAGAAACCTCGCATAATTATATCACTAGTACAGTCTTAATTCTAATATTTGGTGATGCTGCTTTTCTGCCACAAGTCGATACCGTTACACGTATCGACCGAGAAAGATGAAAATAAAACAATAAAAACATAAACTTATGTCTAGCCTAGAATTTTACAACGCGCTACCACTACAAGCACTTGCAGATTATTTACGATACTATTATTGTTAATTCTTAACGAGTACTGTTAAGAACTAGAGAGATGATTTTTCGCAAGAGATGCATGTTTACATCGCATTTTATAGCAATAATCATATTAAATTAATATTATACATATACACAATGGACACCATCGTTCTAGAATTATCAATATCTCATTATTATTCACACACTATTTCACAGATTCTAACCGCAGACTCTAACCATGATAATAAATTTATAACTTAGTACCTACTAGCGACTAGATAACGGTATGCATAGATCATCTATAAGCTCAAACAATGGGATTTACTAGGGAATACTACGGGAATAGAATATATTGACTCCTTTTACACTGAGCACTTTGTAAGTTGGTACGCGTATTAATTAGTAACTTTCTATTAAATTATAATAATTTCAGCAATGTACTTAAAGACTAATGCACTAAATTGGTATAATATGCAAAATGATTAATACACATATCATGTATATGTTTACACATATCGCCAAAGTTAAGATAAATCAACAGAAAGTTACTAGTTAGTACCTGTATCAAGTGCACGATATAAACTAGGCTACTAATATTGTCTGCTGTGTTCTCGTTATTGCCTTCTGATTGCAACGACGACGTAATTTAGAGATATGTTTTTCTCTTTGAGTGATTTTTCGTTTTAATTAATACAATATAAATGTTTGCTAGATTTATGAACGTTTCTTAAAATATATAAAAATTTTCAAGTATTTAAATAAGACATTTCAGTTCTATGTATAATAATATACAAAAGAAAAATTGCTATCTTTGTAATATAACTCAGAAGAACTAAGATGTAATAAATAATACAAATAATTTTGGTATAAATTTCCGAATAAATAATTGTGTCATCTGTTTAAAAAGCACACAGCATGCAAATGTTCTCATCAACAATTTCAATTCATTACGATTGCCTATGGAAATGTTTTTAAATCTTTAAAATATCATAAACGCACTTTACAAACACAAAGCTTTCCGTTGCGAATGCTCTACGCCTTAACAAGCTAAATGAAACAGAAAACCGGTATTGTCTTTCCATATTTCAAATTATTTTCCCTTTAATTATTTACTTGTCATTAGTCGCTATGTTACACGAGAATGTGGACGAGATGTTTCGTAAATCGCTAGCTATCAATCACTATTTTGTGAACAATTATCATAGCAATTGATTCAAACATTGAAAAACAAAACGAGTAGTAATACTCAATTCCAAATAGATGTGAGAATTTTGATAAAAAGTCGAGAATAATTTGTACATTCATAATTCTTATTCTGGAAATTCTGATTCAGATAAATTATCTCTTCAGCCTGCATGGCTCTGATTAGCTTGAGCGATCGATGCGTTTAAGGATCTTACAAATTGACTAATTTTAATCTTTACTGATCTGATTCTGTTTCCTTCAACCGTAATAATTATCGGGTCAATTATTTTTGAACTGATGAACGATCGCGCGAAGTATTTACTTTCTCAAATGTAGAATGATCATCCACCGTTTATTATAACTATCAGCAAACTTATGAAACATCTCGTGGTCAATTCGTGTGAATTTTCTCTCTGTATACAGACTAGTAACATGTACATGATATATTATCTATGGCCGGTATTCATAATCGGTTCTATATTTAAGACAGTCTGAAATAGTTTTAAGATGTCATAAGCCAATCAGAGGCTGGTGTACATAGTCGTACATAGTCACGATTCTTATATTTAAGATCGTCTTAAGTACAGTCTTTAGATGTTATGAACTAATATCAGAGAGCCATATTAGCATCTTAAGACATTACTTAAGAATGTCTTCTAATAAGAACGAACTATAAATACCGACCACAGAGCTGTATTAACATTTTCAAATATTACTTAAAACGGTTTTAAAATAAGAATGGATTATAAATACCAGCCTTATGTTCACCGCTTAAACGACTAGTGTATCATTGCACCCATAAATAACCTTTTACCAATCGACTTATGTAACCCATTCCCTTTTTATAGTCCTTTCCTATCCTCTTGATAATGTACAGTATATGCAAAAAAAAATGCGACTCTTTTTTAATCATTATTATGTTAGCTGAATATGACACAGTAACGCCATCTGTTGCATAATGGAAGCGTCACTTTTGATATATCATAAAGTTATAATAATAATTTTATATTCTTGTTAATCTCTCTCTCTCTCTCTCTCTCTCTCTCTCTCTCTCTCGCATTAAAAATGTTCGATAAAGAAAAAATATACAATTTGCTTCATATCCAAGATCCAAAAATTTGTCAGCTTGTGGATTGTCACCTTTTCGCGTATTGTATTCTGTGTTAAAAAAATTGGTACCTCTAAATTAAATATTAGTGTTCTCGAACGCATGTACGAACGGAACGATACAAAAAAATATTGAGTATCTTGAAAAAAAAAAATGTGATTTTGCTTAAGTAGCAAAACCACATTTAATAGTGTCAAATAGTCGTACGATAGTAGAAGAACTAAATATTTATGTTTTAATCAAATTTGTCCCCGACTACTCATTTTATTTGACTAAACCGATAATTGAAATATCAGTTGTGAGAGTCGCATTTTTTGGCGCTTACTGTATTAAATATTGCAACGCGGAGGCGATCAATCAACATTGACTTATCCACCAATTACTCATGTTACTCTGAAGAATCGGAATCAGATTCGGCCGGTGCCTCGGGCGTTTCTTGAACTTCTGGCATGGTCTCAGGGATTTTCTTCGATCCGATCGTCGCCGAGACATACGCACCCGGTCCTTCGCCTTGCGTATGCTCAATCCCTACCCTAAATAACGTTTGATAATACAGAAACATTCAACAAATAATATTAAATTAAATAAAAAGAAACAATTAGAGGTATATTCGAATTCTCATCCGGGTGTCATGTCATTTTTGTTTAATATTCGATAAACAACAAGGATGGAGTGATATCTGGATGACACTCGGGTAGGAATCTGAACCCAGCATAAATGGATTGTCTTCTTATAGGAATATCAAACGCTTATTAATTTTAATCGAATAATTCGTCGATAGATATACTGGAAAAGTTTGGAATTCTTATACTATATAATTTATAACATTAAAATAATCTTTTAGAACTTACCTGTATTCGTGACGCGACAAATTTCGAACATATTTCTCTGGGGGCGCATCACTGTCACTGTTCTGGAGACTGACGCTCCTCGCAGTCGTATGAGATACTTGCGTCGCCGGCATTGTAAACTCCACGTAACAATATTCCGAGAGGTTTTCGGGGATTTGATCGTAAGAGGTGAGAGCCATCCGGCAAACCAGCTGATGTGTCGTGTACGCACCTAGAAATAACCGCAAATAACTGAAATTGGACAAGAGCCAACAGCAATCATGTGGACGATGATTTGAACATATATTTAAACCATTACGCGTAAAGCTTCTATTTTTATGCAGAATCTAAATATTCTTACGTTTAGTAAAGTTAGTATTGTTCAGATTTCCAGAATTCAGTTTTTTAGTTCACAAAATAGAATAAAATCGTAATATAAAGAATATAAAGTATAATATAAAAATTTGTTAACAACGAAACAAAAAAAATTAGAATAATTTGTTAATCTCGACTGACGCTATAGTGGCACATAGAAAAGCGTAAGCAGTAAGCAAATCAGTTCTTTTATTCGCTACTACTTACATTATTGTCTTACGTTCTCGACTATGGTCGATCGTTTATGTCTTACTGCTTAGGTTTTTTTATACACTTTAAATAAAAAAAAGTATAGGCAAGTACCTTGACCCTCTTTTGGCAACCTGGGCATCCTCCATACGATGGCACGATGTTGATGCTCATATTTCGCCTGGCCGGAAGTTACTTCCATTAGCTGCGGTTCTAACGTATCGACAGCACCCAAGAATCTCTCGATACCCTTAATCTTCCCTGTTCTTCTATGTGCTGATTTTACCGAGCCATATCTGAAGTGTTTCTCCACCCTAAAGAGGTAGATCCAACACTCAGGTATAGGGAAGCGAACCATCACGTCTTCGCATGGTATTTGGCCCAATTTTCTGGATGCAAAACCAGGCACGAGAATGTCTGCTCTCAACTCCACCTGAAAATGCGTAAAAAGAGATCAAATAATGCAGCTCCAATAAACGTGTCACTGTGAAAATTTGTTGCGCGTCGCAAGAATGAGAGGAATGAAAAGAAATTTTAACAAAAAAGTTTTACATAAAGCCCAATATAATATTTTTATAATAGAACGGAGAATGACAATACTACCTAATATAACAGATAGAAGAAAGATACGATGATGGCTAAAATCAACAAGAAGTTTTCGCTTTTATTTAAATACTGTACGGAAAGTTTATTGAAGAAATGGAAAAAGGGAAAATTACCTTGTTCCCGGTAACGCACATAACAGCTTTTAGCTGAAGCGGTAGTTCTCTATTTTTAGGCGGTCTTACGCGAAACCGCATCAGTTCAATGTAACATGCATCAGGTGGCTTGAACCTTAGAAGATATATGTTAGTAAAGTATTAGTTGTAAAATAAATTTATAATTTTATGGTTAAAATACACACGTTGATTAGTTAAAGGCAAAATTATGTTAGTGTCTTAAAATAAAGGTACCTTATATTATAAAGAAATTTAAGCCTATTATTATTAACATGCTTATTTGTAATTGCAAGGAAGAAATTGTTAGAATTATTAATGTTTATCTGAAAAAAGTTACACTTATCGATTTTATCATAGTAAAGTACATACTTTATTATCCTTGATTTTTCGTACTCGTCCTGCTGAACGCATGAATGGAACTCGACGTTCTCCAGGCGAATCCATTCTTCCGTTACGACGGGGATGATATCGTGCCTACCAACAACCTCTTTACCTTGTCGCCACATATCATTTATTCCTAATTCTATGTCGGGCATACCTAAACAATAAATTAAGTTTCATAAAAAATCTAAATTGTAAGAACACAATTTTTTTATTATGATTTATTTTTTTAAATATAGCGCAATATATTCGCAATTGTTGTGATATTTACCAGAAAGGAAACCCAGGAAGAAAAGACGAACACGTGCGATTTGCTTGTCTACGTGACCTTCTGCATTCTGCTCGACATACAGCTCATCCACGACTGTAACCTGAACTTCTTCCATTTTGTAAGTTAGAGCCCGATCACGATGCGCCGGTAACCTAAAGAGTGCTTCCTCGATAGCACAAGAAAATTGTTTCATGTCCTCGTAACATTGGGAACCAAGTTTGAATAACTGAGAAATCTGCACACATTATGGAATGTACAGATGTATTAATTGTACTGCTTAATATTCGTTGGAAATGATTTATATCAAGAACTAAAAAATTTACCTGAGGTGCGTGTTCAACAGGAAGACCCAATTTTTTCAAATCACTCCCAAACTCTTTGACGCCTTGATAATCCCCTTGAATAGCGTATGCTGCGAACTGGCTGAGTTTATTTGTAAGTCGTTCCGCTTTCGTGACCTGGCCGGGTCGCACGCCAGGTCTTTCCTTATAGAAGATGTATTGTAGCTTCACTGTAAATATCTTCCCGTACTGATCAAATTGTTGAGCGCCAATGTCCGACACCGAATAACAAGCGAGCAGGGGTAATTCTTGAAACGGATCTTTGTCGTCTTTATTATTGAACAACTGAAGACTCGGATTGTCACCCTGGTAAACCAGTTTGACAAAAATCTTCTTCCAGAAACGTTGCCCTGTAATTTTCTTTTTGTTCGGCTGTCGCAACTGCATCTCCCAACCATCGCCGGTGTAAGTTATCCGCGGGAAATCCTCAAGCGGTTGGCTAACATCCTCATCAAACAAAGGAGTAGGCGGGGTTTCCTGAAATAAGAAAAAAAAATTTTATTCCATTTATCCATATATAGGACTTAATCAAATTTGTTGCATTTTAAGCATCGCACAGTTCTTTCATATGCACATTTATGCTCTTAATTTAATTAAAGAACAAAAGACAAGAACTGCACGTAAAAATATATTTGATTGATGGAAAAACAATTTAAAGTAACGCGGCATATAATGATTTATCTAGTGCGAATACCTGAGAATCTGTCCTAGCCATTTCGGCTGTCTGTGCAGTTTCAGATACCACAGCATCCTGCGCGATTCCAGATTTATCAAAGGGATTGAAACGCGGCGAAGAATCCGCATACGCAGCGATTTGCGGACTTTTTGGCGGCGGCGCTAACGTAGGTACAGGTCCACCTTCTATTGCTGTTATCTGATCTCCTTCTTTTGGTCTAAGAGATAAATAGAGAACTGATATTACCTATGCACTAATGTTTGAAATAAATATATATTTGAAATAGTATGATTATATTCTTGAATCTAACTGTGTACAGCAATTCAGACAATAATTGATAATTTTTCGACGTTATTACTAATAAATATCTCACGAATAGCATCAGAAATAAATCAATCTAAAATTTCTTTCTTATTAATCAGTAGCTTTTTCCTTAACTTACTTGATAAACACACTGAAATCGGGCCCCTCGTCCGATTCCGCAGACTCAGATCTTTTTACTTTCGTATCCGGTGGTGGAGCCGTCATACTTAAGAAGGAATCAAAACCATCAGATTCTCCAAAACCAGTAACCGCCGCTTCCAAGCCAGCTACTGATGAGTCTCCCCAAACTGAAAAGAAAATGGTTATAAATAGTTAAGTTAAAATATAAAGTTACAAGTTGTCTTCGTATATACCTACCATCGCTGGAAGTGTCCATAGCGATTGGTCCGCCACCGAAGGCATCCAAGAAAGGATCTCCGCCATTGGTTTCTGGTTCGGCAGCCCTATCAAATTTGGACGCAAAAGCATCGAATGAGTCGCCAGTATCCTCGATCGCCTTCGTCGTAGCGGCGAAGTTATCCAATTGTTCTTCGGGCCTGTAAGCCTCGTTTCCAGGAAATTCTGTTCCAGGAGTCGGACTGGTGGAGATCAGGCCACTGCTGACCTCCTTGATCGGTTCTCCGAAATCACCTAGTAGATCCGAGGCAAAGGCTGACTGCGTGACTTCCGGAGCAAACAAAGGCTGAGCTGCAGTTGCGAAGGGTGCGGGCATGGTTTCGACTATGCCGAAGGGCGTTGTCGTGGTTGTATTGGTCATGGAGAAAAAGTTCGCATCAGCGTCGGTAGAAACCTGTTCTACTTCTATAAAACAATTTATAGAATATTATGTAAAATATAATAAAATTAAAGCAATGTAACATTATTCAGATGAATTGATGTTTTTATTTATTTTATTTTCATAAACAAAAAAAAAGAGAAGAAATTTTCTAACCTTGGAAGAGTTCAGTAGCTGCTGTCAACGTAGGTTGAATCGCAGGGACAGGTTCCGTGAGGTCCAAAACAGTACCAGACTGTCCAACGTCTGTTTCTATGACCGCGAAAGGAGTCGCAGAGGTCACTGAAGGCCGTTTCTCATTACTAATAATATCTTCCGGATATTCCATTCCAAAGGTAGGCTGCGCTTGCGGTACCACTTCCTCTTCGCTCATACTTGCGAAGGGATTGTCTTTGGTAGTAGTAGTCATTGAAACTCCAGTGATAAGACTGGTAGTATCCGTATTAGTGGTCATGGAAGTAGAGAAGATACCGGTCGAGGTGACTTCAGAAGGCGCATCAAAGAGATCCATGATGTCTTGATTTTTTGGCGGCTCAATAACTTTATCATCTGGAATCAGATCCGGCACATTGCTGTCGACGTCCAGAAGATCGGCAAAGCTGTGCTCCGGAGTAGGTGACGGGGAGTGTATCAGCGTGGGACTGGGCGTTCTAGTTGCTTGCAAACGATCCAGAAGATGGTTTGAGGTAGCGTCCATTGCTCCCGTAACTGACAATATCAGATCCTTCGTGTTCTTGGCAGGTGGTTGTACCGGTGGATGCGGTATCGGTGGTGGTTGTGGTCTCGGTGGAGGTGGTCTTGATGGCGGCGGCTTTCCATTCTTCGACGGAGGTGTTGCCGCTGGAGATGGTTGAGGCGGACTAACGATCGTCGGTTGTTGCTCGGCTGTTGTCGTCGTCATCGTACCAAATAGATCTACATTCGTACTATCGGACGTGACGAAAATATTTGATGATTGGCTAGTGAAGACGTTGGTTGCTGGCGTATTAGTGTCGGCGATCGCTCCGAATCCGGTATTCGGAGCGGTACTTTCAATGCCAAAGGAGGCAAACGGATTAGTAGAATCGACGGATATCGGTGGTTCGTACGCTGTTTGGTCGCTGCCGAAATTTAAAAAAGGATTCTCGCCCGCGCCGGAAGTTGCCGCGTCGGTGAAATCTTGGAGAAAAGGATTGGAAGCCTGCGGGGGCAAACCGCCTCCCGGTTCCGTCGCATAATCGTCCATTAAGAACGGATTACCACCCTTGGAATCCATGATTGAATACACTCAAAAATTCTGATTAAGAGTTAATTGTAACAATTGTTGAGCGAAATCTTTTTTTGAACTGGTACTTCCATAAAAATAGAATAGACTAATTTTAGTCTGTTTGTCTGTACTCTGCGTGTTAGGCAGATATTTTTTGGTACAATTTTAATTCATCAATTAACACAGCATTTTTGGAAATCTTCCGTTAGATTATAATATATGTAGAAATTATTGCTACGTAAGTAGAACATAAGAATTTAAGCTCTTCATATAGCTTCAAAAGAAATAATCAACTTGTATACCTAGTTTGATTAACAATGAGATATTCAAAAGATTGCTCTAAAGATTCTGAAAAAATAGAACTGTATATAACAATTGATAATATTACTTCATCAGTTCGGATTCGAGCAATTTCAGTTCGGTCCGCCCAGGCTCGATAGTAGCGAAGCTAGTATCGAAGGGATCCACGTCGTCGTCCAAAGTAAGATCTTTATTCTGAAGCGGCGTCAATACTTTGTCGCCGGGATCTTGTCCGTCCAAAGACAAAAAGTCTTTGGATTCCTTTACTTCGTCCGCTCTAGGATCGAAGTCGTCGATTTCCGGGATTGTCGATGCTACGATGGGTACCACCGTAGGTAGAACAATAGAGCGCGGTGGTGGTTGTTCAGGAATTTGCTGCAATTCACTCTCCAATATTTTCAACTCCGCTTTACCGGGCAGAATGTTCGTCGCGATAGAAGTGTCGAAAGGATCCGAATAGGAAATCTCCTCTTCCACGATAGGTTTACTCTCGATTCTAGGTGTCAGAGGTTTTGCGTCGACTTCGATTTCCGCATCCAATAAGCTCTCCTGCCTGTGGGGTTCTTGTCTTGATATCACTTCCTCTTCGACTTTTTGTATCAGCGACGATTGTAGCTGCGCAAGTTTTAAATTGCTCGGTGTGACCGAGGTAGCCGTGAAATCGCTCTGTCTTCTGATTGGTTCTGCGGTGGATCTCGGATCGAAGTCGTGATCGCTCAAACTATGAGGCAACTTGGGTTCTTGTCTCAACAATTCTGACTCAATGAGCTTGAGCTCGGTCTTGCCTGGCGCGACGTTATTGACAAAACTCGTGTCGAATGGATCGACATCTACTTCATCGTCCTCTGTTGGTAATGACTCTTCTATAGACTTCTGGGAATAGTACGGTGTCAGCGGTTTAGAGGGTAGTGTCTTCTCCTCTTCGGTAGTCGCGAGAAGGTCAGGTCTTTTTGACGGTGTCGGCAATTCAAACGCAACAGCTTTGTTTGGAGCTAGTTCGAGAACTTCCGGCCGGGAAGCCTTTCTCTCGAGATTCGTTGGAGTCGCTTCGACCTTCTCGTCCTCCTCAAAGTTAACAGTAAAGACAGGCTCAACTGGCGCAAATTGAACAGGCGCGGATGGTCTAGGTGGTGGCGGTTTTGTGGGTAGCTGCTTTACTGACGCCTCATCTTTCCTTGGATCAAAATCATTATCGTCCTCGACGCAACTGTTGGATTGCTCACCGAGTAATTCTTTTTCTAAAACCTTGAGCTCTGTTTTGCCAGGTGGAAGCTCTTTCACTGCAGACGTATCAAAAGGATCAACGTAAGTGATATCCTCGACAGGCGCTATTGGTTCGTCCGCCAATTGACTAAGATCAGTGGTCGAACCGCCTAACAAGTCCTTCTTTGATGATAGCAAACTGTTATGATTATCTTTCTGTTCTTCATCTAACTTCAACAGGCCAGTTTCGTAATCTCTGTTAAAACCAGCGGGATCAGTTAGTGATATGGATACTTCCGAGACAGGCAGTTCTTCAAGTTCTTTCTCGATAAATTTTAGCTCTGTTTTACCTGGTAATATATTATCCGCGAATGTAGTATCAAACGGATCGGCCTCGTCGACAAAAGTAGCCGCTTCGAAGCTGGCCTCAATTATCTCTGTCTGAAAATCGGTTGTTTCAGGCTCCTTCGTGGCAAATGGATCATCGGCTTCCTTGAGACAAGTCGACTCATTTGGCGAGGCGTTTAAATCAAATTCAGTGTCATCCAAGTCAGGAATTTCTTCTAAAATCGTTTTCTCCTTCAAAACTTCGAATTCAGAAATATCTAGTGGACCATTCGATGTTTTCTCAGTCGAGGCTATGTTCTCTTGAATAACTGTAGCAGTAAGGGGGCTGACTGGTCTTGGTAGCACAGGCGGTAATTTCGTCAAATCAACGGGAATATCAGGAAAATCGCTGTCATCATCTAGCAAAGTCTTTTCTATTTCTGTCGGTTCCGCTACGACAGTTTCCACCGACGGCTGTTCCGCCTCGTCAAAATCGTCTAACAATAGATCTTGTTGAATTCGAGGTCTCCTTCCCTTGGTGATCTTGCAAGTGCTTACATAGTCGATTCTTCCCGATAATACCTCAACAGCATTGCCTAAACTGACTAGCTTATTGCCCTTTTTATCGACTGTACGAAGAACCTTATCGGCGCTGGTGGTGTCAAAGGGATCGTCTCCAGTCTCTTCTTCGGTCGGACTGTCTGGTATGTAAGCTAATTGAACGTCGATGTTTTGAAGAACGTCGACGTAAGTGGTGTCGAAGATATCCTCTTCGGCGGAATCCTCTTGCTCATCTTCGTCCTCTGGTACGTCTACAAAACCGTCCTCGTTAACGAGTGATTTCTCTTCCTTTGTTTCTTGACCATCGATCTCCGACGGTGCAGCTTCGATTGGATTACCCTCCTTGTCGAAGCCTACCCACCTCTTCGAGGATGATTTGTTGGAGTCCTCTTGCTTTGCCTCCTCTGGTTTCTTCTCTTCCAACGGCGCTTTTCGCTGGAAGAATGAAGTAGACTTTATCCGATCGAGGTCATTTTGAGTCTTCTTCAAAACCGAATCGACGCCAGCAGTCAAAGCCTGGAACTTTTTCCACTCGTCAGATCCGGTACCTTTGGCTGATTCGCCGGCTTCCTCAGCTTTCTGTTGGGCCTCTGCCCGTTCGCGCCGATAACGCTCGAGCTCTTCCGGATCAAACTCCTCCTCCTCCGCTCCCTTCTTGCCCTTCTTCGGCTTTTTCTTCTTCTTCAGCCCCTTGGCTAACTTGTGCATCCTCTAAGACCTACTGTGGTGCGTGAGAGGCTCCTGAAAATAAAAATCCAGATTATTGTACAAAAATATGAAATTTATTGCAATCTATGAAGAATATATTTCTCCAGCAATAAACATGATTAAATCATTGTTGAAAAAAAAAAAATCATTTTTGTTATATTTTTACAATTATACTGTGCAATTTCATGAATAGGTGATGCAAAATATTCTATATATCTTAGGACGAATAATAAAAATTTCTTAATTATTTCTACATAATTAAGACACTACGAAAACGTCTCAAAAATCATGGAATCATTGACTATAATAATTTACGTCTCCGAATAGAGAGCGATAATGCGGGATCATTGTCAAAAGAGGCCAATCGATCGTAGTGCAGTAACCGAATGTTTTTCTCCCTGGTCCTCAACTCAATTCCGTTTGACAAGCAAAAATAGCGACCGGTCGAAATAAAGGTGAAATATTTCTAGGAGCATTTCTTGGAGATGTGCTCTACGAATGACATCTAACTTCCTCACAAATGACCTGCCAGACCTGTCAAAGTCGTCGAAGACAGTTAAAGCTTTATATAGAAAGCCGATAAATTAGATTTTCGCCGAGTTCTTTGCATTTTGTCATGGAATTTCAAGCTTTTCATATTTCCGTTGTATTTCAATGACGTTGACTTGCGACGAATTCGGTAACAATACGATGCGTATTTCACGAAAATGTCTGAAATCGTACATTATATTACGCACGACGCACTATGCGAATGTAAAAGTAATAGTTTACAAATGTTTTTAACCGTCTTGCGTCTTATTATTTTATGTCAAGTTAGACAAGAATGCATCGATAGATAGATTACAGGCTATGTACACTAACGCCGTGATAAGCTTATAATCGTGTGACACACGTGTATATTTGCATTTTAATCGATATATACCAAACTTGCAAGTGTCGATAGAATTTAATTAATATACCAGCGTGTGGTACGGCAGCGGATCATCAATAAGAAGATAAACATGTACTATAATACTTTCTATTTTCGATGTTCTCGCATGGAGAGCTTCGAGAAAAAAATCGTAAACTAAAATGCGACAGTTGATAGAAGAGGTACGCATATTAAAGGGGATGGAGGATAAAATGAAAACTCCTCTCGATCATAAACACTTAAATGTGATACTTTTGTCTTTCGTATGTGACCTATGTGCTATGCACTACTCTTTGACGACGGTAAGAGCACCCTTCTACACGCACAAATCCCTCGGCGTAGTTGGGTTTTCATCACGGGTCGCCAAGCAACTCCGGCTATGAATTAGCCCCGGTCTGCAACGTAGTGATGCACATATACGTGTTTATGTAGTGTGAAGAATTCACGTATATGTGTATCACGAAATTATAATCGATATGCGAAAAAGCAAACGAGCAGATTCCAGCAACAAAAAGAAATTTCTTCGGTAATGTATATAACATCCAGCAAATATTTTTATAAAATATTGTTATACCGCAATTAATGCTAATCTATTAATACTAATTATTAGATTGCAGTCTCAATTTTAAAGTAAAAGCAGTGAGCAATCGAGATATTAAAATTAAATATAAATTAATTTGGATTTTGTTCTTGTATAAGTAAGTCAAAGAAAATGTTTATCAGAAAATGTTGAATTGCTACTTGCATGTGATAGATATATTTTCGTTGTATTATGTGCAAACATAACAAAAGGTAGCACATAAAATAATATAAGAAAAAAGGAAAATATCCAGTGGCGAAGTTTATGAAGAATTTCTTAAATTTCAGATAACGATTAGGTTAAACCGATTCCTGTTAGACGTTCTAGATTAAAGCGATCGACAGTGACTTATGTCAACGTCTCTTTTGCTTCTTCTACATAACCAAATGGAAATAAATTATCCATATCGTGAATGTTTAATAAACTCTGACTCATTTCGTTAATTAAAGATCCAAGTGCTCTATCTGTTCCTATTTCGTTTGTCAAATAGCATTTCTTTAGTATCGTTCATGAATCGATATTATCGATGATCATATACAACACAAGATACTTTAGAAATAGGGACAGCATATGACATCTTTGCCATTTTAGAAATTAAGTAACAAATTATAAATTACAAGTGCATAGATTATGCTTTAAAATTACATCAGATTTTCCAAATAACATAATATAAATATGTAAACTTTGATTGCAATAAATTTGTAAACTTTGATTGCAAAGAATTATTTACAAGGCGAGATCGTGGATGGAGAAACAAATAATAAATAGGTAAAAACTTTCAACTACGCGCGTATATTGACGTTTGAAAAACTTTTTTTAAAATTTAAAACAAATAATATATTTGTCGCATTAAACGTCAATGTCATTGTACTTAAGTTATTATAGTGTGCAATTTTATCAGATTTAAAACAAATTGAAAACAATAATTAAAGAGCTAATGAGAGTGTAGTACAGACTACGATGTGCAGAAAATCGTGTAAAAACTTTACCAGATTTCTAATCAGTATCGAATACGGGACAGTTAGCGATTCATCTATATTGTGTCATGCATTTTTTCAAATTATGTGCGTACAAAATAAAATATCAAAAAAATGTATAGAAATTATTTATATGTTTAGGAAAAAATATAAAGAGTAAGACAAGGAAAAAGCAATCATCGGACAATATCGTTAAATTTTATCTTACTTATTACTTAATTAGGTCATACCGTCAACGAAAAGATTCAAATTCAATAACCAATTGCAGCTGTCATAAAACTATATTGTAAGTAAAGGTAGCATATTAACTGTAACGATATCTCGCGAGGGCTCTGTCAGCACTTGTATACACCTGTCACTTACACATTCTACCTGAAGTCTGTCACGAGGTTTCTGAATAAGGGAAACTTGAGAGTATAAATTTCGATTATATCTCGTTTCTCGATTGTAATTTCGGCAGTTACACGCTACAATAATGAAAAAACGGCTAACGATACGAACATGTCTATTTTACATGTCTATAAAAATTTATCTTAAAAAAGCTTAATATATTATATTATTTGTTATAAAATAATATATATAGACACTCCATCCTTTTATCTGTGAGATTTTTTCGAACAAGTAAATATTTTTGGCATAGAATATCGGAGTACTTATAACTTGCAATGCAACAAAACTCCGCGAGAAACAGTTTCATAAAAGAAAAGTAACAAGTTTTCGAAAATATGAAATAATACGCAACACGCGGCGATAAAAATCAATACTCTATAAACGCAGTACTTAAAGAGAAGCTGCTAAAGGTGTCTTTCCTGCGGTGCAGTCGATCACCGGGACAAGATGGGGAAACGCAAACTGCTAAAGACCATTTTTCCTGCAACGTAATCGATCAGGTTTTCTAAGTCTCATTGCAGTTCACCGTGTATTAAGTCTTGCCACAGTAGTCGCTGCTGTGTCAGCCACATTCATCGAGACACGGGGGACTACAAGCGCCTCAAGAAACACGCGAGTGCTTTGCCGCATCTAATTTTATCTCCACCAAAGGAGTTTGAAAGCAGCGTTATGCCGATAATTCGTACTTTACATGCAGATTTTAAAGGTTCAATAAATAAACGTTTGAGTTTCTATAGGGAACAATGAATCACACTGCACGGCGTTTATGATATTTCAATTTCTCAAGATCTCTCCAAAGGGAAGGATTCGTATAAGCAACCATATAAGACATTTAACAATTCAAATTGTTGATTAACTTACGTTTAAATGCAAATTTAACTTGGTACAAATTAAGCATGCTCGAGAAACTGAAAAAGGGTAAAAAATAAAATTTGTGTGTAATCCCATCCTTTCTATATAGTATCCCAATAATAAAATAATGACTAGTCACTAGGATAGAAGTATATATCATCAAGTGATCGTATAAATCAAATTAAAAAGTCAATTATACGTTCTTTGAAGCTAATGCTACTAATAGGAGGCTAAAGAAAGATCAAAAGAAAATATTGTACCTTCTCATGCATCATGCAGGGAATATCAAAAATATAACACTGAATTAGCCCGATTTTTCTTTCCTAATTTCCATCTAGGACGTCTATTACTATGTAAGCTACGTCGTGAGAGCCACAAACCATCGACTTGCGGCGACATTAATTAAACGTGCAACTAGTAATCGTATACCATGATGGGATTTAGCAATGCGTCCAAGATTACCTAAATTCCATTTAGAATTATAGTATACGCGTTTCGTACCTAATCTAATCTCGAATAAATGGACGAAGGGCTATTTTCGATTTGGAGCAAAGCATAATACACATAACGACAATTATGCATCGGAAGTAACGACATGAGATCAATGAACAGAGATTGCGGTCGCCTGTTGCAAACGCGAAAAATTTTGTGAATCTACGAAAATAATATGCGACTTATAAATGCGCGGTGCGATTACAGGGGGATGCCGGAGTGGCGATCAATCCGGTCGAATATGCGAGAGCGCCCGCCGTCCACCGGGGGTGGCACCCTCGTCCGCCTTTCGGCTTCGCTAAACCGGGGTCGTGCAATACTTACGATTTCAGCCTCATCAGCCACGTTGATACGACACACATTTTTTTCGCGTCATCCCGCTCGACTTAGGTCCCGGGTCGCGGCTCGAGGTAGTTCGGTACTCGCAGCCGGCGTATTTGGTCCGTGAAAGAAGAACGACGACGACGACAGTAGCGGTAGCGA